GGCCACATGGGCCCAGGCCAGGATCAACTGGCTAAGTAGAAGGGACTTGCAGTTCTGCTTGGGTCCCTCTTCTCCTACAATGGTCTTTCCAGTGTCCCTTGCCATACCTCCTTCTGCCCATCACAGTCCCAATTTGTACCTCCACCCTTCTTTCTCCCCAGACACCCTTCAAAACTCACTCCAGCTCTTGAAGTCACTAACCCTAGCCTATTATCATCCACCCTTCCACACACCTAGTCTGGCGCACACTCCTCAACATCCACAAATAACCCAGTCATACTGAGCAACCATCAAATTCCCACTTCCTACAATAGCTCTCCCCACCTACATTCTAAAACTTTTTGCCCTCTAGGGGATTTACAGCTCTCAGACTTCTAGTTTTGGCAAAGATCAGCCTTGCATCTTCAGTGCAACTTCAAATGGCCAAGTCTGATCACTACTGCCTAATTCTTCTTCTAAATGTCACTGACTAGGTCTCAGAATCTATTTTTTTAAGCTGCTGTCTTTAGTCACAAATCATCCCTGATAGTTACAAAATTTAGGTTTCATATGAACCAATTTTATAAATGTGAACTGCATACTTTTAATTTCATAACCATTTATAACCAAAGAATTTTCAGAGGCGAAAAAGATGAAGAGTACTTTCTTAAATGCATGACTATATGTTTGTGTATATCCTCCAGATATGTTGGACTAATTCTATTCAGTACTGTAGTGTTTAATATATATTTCATATTAAGTTTATTTATTAAGATTAATTGTGCACTTTGGATTCCTGTGTTTTAATTTAGATTTCAATCATTTTTATACCCTATGTGCTTTGGGGTAATTTTGGATTATTGAATTAATTTGTTATAGTTAAATAAGAATATTATATTTCTATCTTGCTCCAATCAATTCGACTCTCTTTGAATTATTATGGTATATATATGTTTTTCGCTATTAAGTTGTTTTAATATTCTTTATTGTTCAGTGTCTGTAATCAGAAAGCTGGCTAAGACTTATGGCCCAGAGCTATCATCTTAAGGCCTACCATATAGCTCCAATCCACTTATCATATAATGATTTTAACTATCTAATAAAGGCTAGTTTAATTTTTGTTATTACTAAACTCTTGGGTGTTATTTTCACTTTTCAGTTTTTATTTCCAAACACCTTAAGAACTCTTTAGCATAAATTTTGGGTTCTGATTTTTTAAAAAATCTTACTACGGCCAGATATAGTATTTATTGCTATCCAACATGCAATAAATGAAAAACAGTGCAAATGTGAAGGATTATTTAAACATGCCTTTAACAGATTCAGTTCAAGGGAAGAGTGAAATGGTTCTAATAAGTGTAACAAGCAGCCCTCACTGCTTAACAGATGGCAGTGATCCTCATTTCTTTGATCTGAAAATAAGTCAACACACATATGTATATGTATGCATGCATGTATAGACCCACAGATACGTACATGATGATCAGGATGCATAAAAGAAGAGCAGGAAACTTGTTTGGCCTAAAAAGAATGTTAACATTCTACACAACGGTCAGTGAGACCCAGTATGGTGTAATACTTAAAGGTTGGACTGGGTCTACAGAAACTTCAGGCCAGTCCCAATCTCTCTGAGCTCAGGGTTGTTGTTTTGGGGGAAGAACTATGGGATGTGTACCACTGTGGGTTCCTGGAGAAAAAAAAACATTTCTCAGTTATGTTCTTGACTATTTCTCTTAGATAACTTTAACCAATGTAAAGCCTGACCTCTCCACTCCTCCAAGACACAAATTTTCTTTGTCTTTTAAAATATCACTCATGATGTCCTTTTTTTTTTTAGCTGAAATCCTGTAAAACTTTGCAGGGGAGGCATTATTAGGGATGTTATATACAAATTTAAATGTATTCCATTGTATAATAGGTTACCTTGGCAACTACTGCGAACAAAAATCTATGTAATTGACAGCAAGGAGTGCATGAACTTGGGCATCTTCAGCTTCTTTGCTGTTCCAGACAATCATTTTATTTCTTCAGCTGAATGTATGATTCATAAAGCCCGCTCTCTCACACATACACATAATTCATATACCGAATGCAGACATATAGAGAGACACACACACACACACACACACACACACACACACACACACACATCTACCTATACCAATATCTTAATTTTCCTCCAAGATGAACTGCAAGGGGAAATCATACACATAATTCATATACCGAATGCAGACATATAGAGAGACACACACACACACACACACACACATCTACCTATACCAATATCTTAATTTTCCTCCAAGATGAACTGCAAGGGGAAATTAAATATAAGTGCAGAAGTACTATTAGAGAAAGATCTGTAGAAATAACATGGACTAATGGTACTCTATATCCTTCTCATCCTTCTTTTGAACAATGTCTGATGCACTAGAAGTTGGTTAAAAGAAAAAAAAATGTGGAAAGTTGCTGAAAAAGAGGCAGAGGGTACCAACAGCCAAGACATGTTACATATACCTGCTGGTGAACTTTTTTCTTGGCCCATCTGTCTCCTCTTTATTTCTCCCTGACTCCCCTTCTCATTTAGTATCTTCTTCTATCTTCCTGATAGAGGCAGCTTCACCCAACTCTCACTTTTTGTGGTTGGGAAAGTTATGGATGAGAGTAAGATGACCATATCAAAGCTATCAACATCTGGATGACTACAAGATGACAGCAAAGAGTTAGAGGTTTCAGTATCTCTTTTTTGCCCACTTTTGGTCATCTGGATTTCTACAGCCCACCTTTGATAGACCTAGACAACTAGAGGCATTGGGAATGTTTCTTTCATGAAGTTTCTGGCCAAAAGCTTCTTCTGAGAGGAACCATTTGAGGCATGTACCTTGTGGTGGCAGGTTCTGGAAGATCCATCTTATTTCTCTTCCAGAGAAAGTAGAAAGAATACATATCTAAATCTCTTAAGATACCATGATTTGGACACAAAAGCTCAATGACAAACAAAAAACTCCCCACTCCTATCACTGATATCAGATATCAGTTATGCAGCTCTGTTTGATGGGATTGTCAATGGGCTTCTGTATTCTTTGAAGCTAAACAGCAGACAGTTATGCAGTAGGTGACAACATTCACAGCATGAAGATGGAGAGAGGAGTGTGGCTAAATACTTGGTCTGCCATTTAATTGCACAAAGTAGAACAGCTCCCCTTAAATGATCATTTGGCAACAACATACTTGCTTTTGTCCTTTCAGAATTCTATCTACACTTGTGAATCATAAAAGCTGCAGTTGCTATATGTCTTGTTTGGTACATTATCCACATATCATAATTTAAAGTCGTTTCAACTCTTCCATGATGTGACTAATAGCAGGGAAGCTTGTTTTTACTAAATCAGAACAAGTGGCTCCTCCACAGAAATGGAAAGTTTGTTGTCCTGAGAGAGAATCATGGAAAGTGCATTAGTTCCTTCCATAACTGGCTGGTATTCAGGCATTTGAGCTATGTCATCAAACACATTACCATGTCGTCAGGTTATCATTAAGACAGATCTGAAGAGAGGTTGTGTATATAGGCTCTTGCAGTGGAAATTAGCGTATCTACACAACATATTATTCACATATAGAGAGCCTTGTGAGACATAGCTTTACATCCTCTTGGGAAATGAATGAAGCACACGATCAGTCAAAGGAATCATCGGAAGTTTATCATTGTCCCACATTTCAGTATCTTCTTGCTGCAACTTTTTTTATTGTGGCAGGAGAAGTTAGCACCTGGCACAACGAAAGTGCCCATTGATACCAGCAATAGATAGGTGGGGGACTCAATTTTGTCTCCCCAAAAATCCAGTGCCATAGCACCAGAAAGATCAGCTACTCTCCTCTCTCTTTCAGCACGGATGCTGACAATACTCAGGGCATTATGGAAAGGAAAGTTTTGCCAACCTTTTCCCAAACCAGCCCTCTTGTCAGCTTTGTGAAAATTGCTCCAGATCTACTGTTGAACAGACAATTCATGGCACAGTTACACAAGTTAGTTCTACAGAAGATAACGAAAACTACTTCTGCATAAGAATACTCACTGAGTAATTGACATGGGAGATAGGATTGGAGAAAAGTCACATGTACCCTTTTGTCTCCATAGTGACATATACTCTGTGTGAGTGAATGATTGCATGTAAGGGAAGCAGAGGAAACAGGGCGAGCTGAGACTTTTGATGGACCCTTCACGTATTGGTGCTGCACTATACTCAGATCAACCTGCAAAGAGCAGTGGATACACGCCAGAGATCCCCTCTAGAAGTTGCTGCTGAATAGTAAAACTGTTGGAAATTAAACATTAAATGCATACTAATATAAATATAATTGTAATTACCGTGTAATTTAGTTTTTAGCTTTTTCTTCTAACCTCATTCATTTTTAGAGGGCAGCCTCTGGTCTGCTACTCAAAGGCCAAATATGACCCTCAGTCTGAAAAAAAGGTTGCATACCTCTAATTCAGATGGGTAATTCTTAAATTAGTAGTTCTCAGCCTCGGATCTTTTCACATTGTTGTACTACAATGCCCCTGAACCCTAGCTAGCATACTTGACCACGAATGAGAGCTGCAGTACAGTTACTTCATTTATTTTAGGTTCATGAAAATATCATTCTTTTGGTCCACATCTGTTTAACCTAGTGAACATTTCAAAGAAGAATTAGATCATTTAGCTAGCCTTGTTTTTAAACTTGTCACTACATTATATCATGGAAAAGTCTGCCTTATTCTCTTTTTGAACAGCAGTATTTTAGTTTTGCTTTGTCCAAAGACAAGAGCGCTTAAAATTATTTCAACATATGAAAGAGAAACCTCAAGTCTACAGACCTTCTCATGTCAATTGCTTTTTAAGCAGGATATCAGAACAGCACTGCAAAAACTTCAGGAAAAAAAACCCCCTCTCTGTTACTTCCTGGAAACTGAAGACAGAAGAAAAAATGGTTTTAGAGAAGTGAGTAAAACTGACATCACTTTGCTATAGAGTGTGACTGCCAGTGGTTACATTTTGCATGACAGAGGAAGCTGCTCTTGGATTATAAAGACGCATTTCAATGTATGGGTACAGCCTATTCTACATTTGATGGGGACTTTGCATGACTTTCATAGAGAGCAATAACTTTTATTTTACTTTCCAGAGACAGACATCCACATGCTGTTTTGTAAGGATACATATAATCTCTGGATATAACCATGTTTTTGTGGCTAAAACTCTTGGTGTTTGGCTTGGCTCTTGTGGACGTGGATGTTTTCATAAACGGTAGGTGCCTTCATTTGTTTTGATACCACAGGTTCTCCTTGTAAATGTAGCAACAGCACTCTGTTGTCTTGAATCAGTTTGATCAAATAATTAGCTCTACAGTTGAAAGCCAATTTCTCATGCTTCGGTTTTTGGAGAAAGACTAGGCTTTACCATAAATTTAACAAGTCTTGGGCCTTGAACTCAAAGGCCTCCATATCCCTCCTTTGGAGTTCCATGATTCTATGATCATGGAGAATGGCAAACTAAGCAACACCATTTGGGTGGGTAACATTAGGACCTTCAAGTCCAGCCTGTGAGTTATAGAAACAGGCACATGCTGAAATGAGCTGTAAAAACTCCTGCAACATTCAAGGAAGCAGAGAAGTCAGCATGGAAACAGTTCCCGTAGCATAGGGTACCTTTTTAGCCCAGATAACTTCATCATTTGGGTTCTTAACCACGTGGTTTGGTTATTTTTTCACACTGAATCTGAGGCTGTCGACCAGGGGTTGAGGTCTTCATTCATTACCTGTGTGGTCTTTGGGTTGGGTAACTATGAAAGTATATGCACCACAGTGAAGGTAAAGCTACTTTTCCTAGATCTCCTTTGAAACAGATTTTGAAAAAAAAAAAAAAGGTTTAAAGTTTTCTCTTTTTCAGTGCCAATGTGCTTAGAATTTGGGCTTCTTTGTTAAGAACATTTAAGACTGCAGTTCTGGTGCTGTTATTCCTTAGTAGTATATATAATCCAATAGATTCACATTTGAATGTTATATAAGTACACAGCTGTTTCAAAGGTTGTTTAAGCAATAATGTTACAGTGAATTTCCCTTCCTTTAAAATGGACTTCTGCATTACATGTTGAGCCACTCCCTAATCTCAGATCCTGTATTTAGTTCCTCAGATTTCAAGCTCTACTGCATCACATATTTTTTGTTCTTCTTTATCTAATGTTCTATGATCAGATTATAAATAATGCCGATATTTTACATATAGATAGAGTCTTATACAAGTCTTAATTACTGACACATCAATATTTTTCGTTCTATGGGGTCATGACTAACCATTTTTTAAATGTCACAAACTAGAAATCTCATTTTATATGTGTTCTTCCACAGATTGGGTTATTGTGGCTTATTTGGTTAACAAGTCAGCATGTACTGCCATTTTATTTCAATTGAACATGGCTCCTTAATCAGGCTTGTGAACCATTTTGAGTGTCTAGAAACCTGAACTTGCTGTAGAGTACAACTCTGTTATTCCAGAACCCCAAAGATAACCATTTTGGATTCAGGCAAATATATAGTATGCCCAAAAGCTGTTTTGCTTGATAAAAGAATCTGTTCATCTGTGATGTCTGGCTGGTGAAAAGATGCTCGTGGCCTGGGTTTATAGTGATAAAGAGCATGAACAGGGGAAGGGTTGAGCCTTCATCTGTATCTTCTTTGACACTATATTTCTCCATGTTTTTGCAGCCTAGAAATAGCCAGTTTCTAAATCTATGTTTGCTCTGAATGTATGGTGTAGTAACAACGTAATTGGCCCTCCAACTTTCAAGAATTCCCACTCCCATTACTACGTTTCAACAATTCCTCCAATGTTTAGAACATTTTGAGGTCCCACAGTTTACATCTTCTGCTGGTGGTGGTGGCGGCAACGGTGGTTTTGTTTTGCTTTCCTTTCCACTGGTGAAATCTAACCTGATCACAAGAGTTCACTAACCATTTAAGAAACAAAGCAAAGGGGGACTTTGAAATTTACATCAGAAAATGTGCAGAGCATTAGCTAATAACAATCACAGCTTCTCATAAAACGTATGGATTTTTTTTTTCAAATCCTAATATTACAACAAATGAGGGCAGATTTAATTCTGGAATAAATACGTTGTTATGGGTTGTATCTGCATAGAGATGGAAATCTGAAGGTTATAGAAGTTTCACAGTAGGCGAAACCTGAATGACCCATCTTGCACCTGCTGATTTCTACCTGCAAAGACTAACAGTGCATTCCCCACTAATGATTCCTTCCTGCAACAAACCATTTTCTCCTTGCCAGATTAGTGCTGCAAGGAGAGTGTGAGATTGGAAACTCTGTGTTTCTTTCTGATGCCTAGTTCTATCCAGCCAGGTGATTCTGCTTTCGCTTAATTTAAGTCCACAAAATTGCTACAAAAGTTTTAAAAAGTTTCTGTCTGTATGCATCTGTATTTTTGGGGAAATCTTATTCTTCTGTGAGCATTAATTACTCAGTTTAATTCACTTTTTCATGAATGAAAAAAATTGTTTGAAATGTTAATATTAAAATTTTAAAATATTAATATGTCAAAACATAATCATAATTCATCATCCATTAAAATTATCCTCATTTTACTTTTTAAATATGTGGAGATAATATTCTGGAAATCTATTAGTTTGTCACCTATGTTTCTCAGTATTTATGCCTGAGTATTATATGAGTGAATCTGTTTAAGATTTTAAGATTGAAAAAAAAGAAAGAAAAAGAAATAATCTGAAAATCCAACACCGACAGATTTTCTTGAATAAGTGTATCAGTGTTAGATTTTCAGCTTCTTTTTAAAAAAATTTTAATCTTAAAAGTAATTCATCATCCCCCTGTAGTCATTTTATAAAGCTTTGCATGCAAATTTGTCAATACATTAATGTGCATTTCTCCTAATATATGCTTTATATATGTAATTTTTTGCATTTTGCATTTTTGACAAGAGCTACATCATAAAATTCAGAAAACTGAGAATTTCAAAGGAATTGTACTTACATACTAACTTGACAATGTAAAATTAGATAAAATAAAATGCACACAGAATAATTTTCTTCCTGATATTTCTGTCAAAATAGTATTCTTACAATATTATCCTTGTTAAAACAGACATTACAAGCACATGGCGGGTAAGAATACTTTTTGTACCTATTCTTTTAAAAAAATTGGGGAACTGGATTGCTAAATTCCAAAAAGTACACATTTCAAAGAAGTCTCAGTTTATATGTTGCTTCACAAATATGAAGTTAGAAAAATGAGCGTTACACTGTTTTCTGAACATGTTTCTTTCCAATGGTCTTGTTAAACAATAATATCCTTGTTAAATTGGTTATCGAGAGAGACGATGTAACTCTTGAATGATTGTGGTATGAAAACAAATATGTACAATATAGCATAACATGTTGCTGCTCCTGCTCCTGCTGCTTCTGCTCTCCTCCACTCCTCTTGCTTATGTAGCCCAGTGTTTATTTCTGCAGCTTCGCTAAATTGTGACTTCATGCAATGTCTAATAGGGCAGGAAGAGAGGGAAAGGTGTACAGCAATAATTTTCTCCAAAAACCAGATTGTCATCTCCTTTGTCTGCCTGAGATAGATATCCAGGACATTCTAACAAATTGCTGTTATAGAAATGCTGACTGTTACCAAGAATTAGGAACTGTTTCAAAGTATATTTTGCTTCATAACGGTGAAATAAGTAAGAAAGCCTCTTTTTCCTCCCTCCATTATCATTTTTGAAGGGAATAGTTGCGTGTTGGTCTTCTCTTCTGTGATTGTGCCTGTGCCGCATTGTCGTTTACAATGATACTATCTGTACCTTTCAGCCTGATAGGCAGCCTCTTTTTGTGAAAAAGGCAAGTGTGTGTTGCTCTGTCTCTTGTACACATGAATAAATGGGATATACACTTCTGAAAATAAGCCCAAAAGACAGCATTTTCAAGTAGTTGATTAATCACACTGAGATCTTCCCAACAGAATATGTGCTGCCTTTTGCAAGTTCTCATATTCTAACTTTCACTTCTAATCCTGCCACCTAAGTTAGCCAGGGAGATACTTCCTCCCTTGCCTAGTTTGTCACTAGGGCAGGACAAGGGAGATTCAATCCTGGCAAGGCTGAGACACTGCTGGTAAATAAGGAGCTTCGGATTCAAGCTCAGTCTGCTTTTAATGGGGTTGTATTCTCTCTGGAGGGATAGTTCTGCGGTCTGGGAATGGCTCTGGATCCTCAGCTGCTATTCAATTTGCAGGTAGCAACTCTGGTGAGCAGCACCTTTGCACAATTATAGCTGGTGCAGTCAGATCTGGCAAGAGTTATTCCCACCTGGATTACATCCTGCCTTGACTACTGCAACAGGCTTTCTGTGGAGCTATCCTCAAAAAGGGTCTTGAAGCTGCTGTGGATGCAATGTGGTTGACCAACATTGGGGATCAGATAATGACTCTGCTAGTTGCCGATTGCTTACCAGGTTGTTGGAATTGACCTTTAAAGGACTAGAGGGCTTATAGCCTATCTAGGGCAGCATTTCTCAACCTGAACAACTTTAAGCCTCCTGGCTGGGGAATTCTGGGAGTTGAAGTCCATACAGCTTAAAGTTGTTCAGGTTGAGAAACACTGATCTAGGGACTAGCTCCTCCCTTAGAAAACTGTCCAGATATTAGGACAGGAAAGGTCTGTTTGAAGATGACCCTAGGATCAGAAGCTTCTTTTTCTGACACATGGAAGAAGGCTTTATCCAGTATTACTCCATTAGAAAGTGAGTAAAATGCACCTCTTTCCCAGGCTTTTGTGGCATTGTTACTGCCTGTTTAAATGTTAATTTATGGTTTCTAATCATATATTCTATTTTTGTTTTTCTTTTAATTTTGTTAGCCACCTTGAGTACTCACCACAGTAGAAAGGTGGAGAAACCCAATCAATCATTCATAGCTCCCCCTATCATAAAGTTATAATTGATAGCCTGGCACCTCACAATCCTTCTCAATTACCCGTTTGTTTGCCTTACTACATTCCTTTTAATGTCTTCCTAACTATTTGTTAGATTTATTCATTTATTAATATCCAGGAGCTCAAGGTTACCTTCTCTCTTCCATGCTTAACTCCCCAACAAGTTTGTGAGGTAGATTGGAGTGAGAAGTGAGATCAGCATGTTCATCAGTCTTACTGCAGATACCTGCCTGGATCTGCCAATAAAACCAACCTCTTCCTGTGTTCTGTGTAACACAGGTAGTTGGGTCTAGCTGTT